TTTTAAAGGCAGTCCTGGCCAGTGGGTTCATTGGTTAGAGCAGTGGTTCCCAACATGGGGCACATGCCCCACAGGGGGGGCAATTTGAATTTTAAGGGGGGCAATTTGAGAATGAGTTATTAACAGTGAATTTTTTGCAGTTCTTATGGTTCAAGGGGCCTCAAATACAGTATATAAATATAGTGACATAGTTATGCATTTTAGTTCTCTATTATGTTTTGAAACTTTGTGCTATTTTTTCATATCACTTCATATTATGATTTTTTTTAACCGTTTCTTAGTGATTTCTACCTCAGTACTTCAACTGTCCTTTCGTTCTTTTATTTTTCTCTTGGATGGATGCCATATTCTTTGGAAGATTGTTTAGACCAAGTTAATGGCCTTTTAGGCTTCTTCCACATGAATAGGAGTTCACTTTTTGAATAATAAGAATTACATGTCACAGGGGGGCATCAGGATTTTAGAAATGCTTAGGTGGGGCATGGCCAAAAAAAGGTTGGGAACCACTGGTCTAGAGCATCAGCCAGAGCACCAAAGGGTCACGGGTTGATTCGTCAAGGGCACTTACCTGGTTGCAGGTTTGATACTTAACCCTGGTCAGCGCTCATGTGGAGGTAACCAGTCAATGTGTCTCTCTCACATTGATATTTCTCTGTTTCTCTTCTTCCTCGTCCTCTCTCCCCTTCCCCCCCTCCTTCCCTCCCTTCCACTCTCTAAAAATCAATGGAAAAAATATCCTTGGGTGAGAATTAACAAGAAAAAACAGTTAAAATTATACATGGTCCCATTAGTTATAGGGTGGATGATAAAAGAGCCAGAAACACATCAAATTTAACAACATACAAAATAAAAGTGGAAAAAGAAAAAATTCTTAATCCCACCACCCAGAATTATTGTGTTATTAAAACTCCGTAGAAAGTTCTATACTACAAAAACTTAAAAGAACTTGTTATGTTCAGTATATTGTGGATATAATTCTTTGCCAATAAAGTAAAATATAATTTTGTTTAGGTTTTTGGTTTTGCTCAGTATTCTGTCGTGTGGATGTAACTTTTTAACCAATCTCCTATTGGCATTTAGGTTCCTAATTGTTTCACCATTACAAGCAACATTGAGTGACTATTCTTATCTGTAGAACTATGAAAGTGTGTCTGTCTTCATTATTAGCTGATGAAATTTAGCCTAGGGTCACATCCGGAGATTTGCTTGAAATGCTCAGTATGACTCCCTGTGTTAGAATTAGACCCCTTCTAAGTTTGTCTCTAATTCCAGTACTTCAAACAAGACTGGTTTCAAATGTTTAAAATAATTTGAATAATGAACACATGTATAAATAACATTTAAGTATCCACCCTTTATTTCATTGTATTCTTATTTTTTGTTAATCCTCACGAGGATATTTTTTCCATTGCTTTTTAGAGAGAGTGGAAGGGAGGGAGAGAGAAATATCAATGTGAGAGAGACACATCAACTGCTTGCCTCCCACAGGCACCCCGACGACCGAAGCTGGGGAATGAACCTGTGACCATTTTTGATGTGCAGGCTGATACTCAAACCACTGAGCACACCAGCCAGTGGTTTTATTTCATTTTAAGTGCCTATTGTACAGTGTGTTAGGCATCATCTATGTATAGGAACAACTTAAATCTAACTTAAGTTCACACACTTTCAAAACAAAAAGACATAAGCCAAATAGTGAAGTTCCAAGAATACATAATCCAAATTTATGTGATGAAACTCTACTAGAAGAGTAAATTTGTAAAGCAAGTAAAAGTATATTTAATATAGACAGTGTCTTCAAGATTATGCTATAAAGGCAGGGTGTGGTGGTGGTAGTGATGGTCCACAGGTTGTGCTGGGGTTTAACTTTTTAAAATGGCATATTTTTAAAACAATTGCTCATTTTATGCTTGATATAGATTTGGCATTTACCTTTTCCTAACATATAGGCAAGCTGTAGTTATTGCTTTGTTGGTAAAAGTTGGCGTTATTTCTGAAAAGCACACATGGGAATGGCGAACTGTAGAAGCTGTGGCTACAGGTCTCCAGGTAAGTAGTGCTATCTCTAAATTCAATAGAACTTGACTATTTGTTAAGCATGTTTATATAAAACATTTTATCTTAAACCTGACAATGTGCAGGCTATGGCATTACTGTTATCCTCACTTTACAGGTGAAATGGAGAAACCCTAGAGAAATTAGTCATTAATTCCTGATTTGTAGTAGAGCTAGGAATACAACCTAGATTTTGTTATTCCTAGTCAGTTTATCTTTCTGCACTTCTTCTCTTAGTCCTTGAGCAGTGGGTTGAGCATTCTATGTACTTTGCTAAGAAATACTTGACTAAGTTAATGCAAAATAGATTTAAATTTTTGGCTGTTTGTGGTTGTTGTTTTTTGAGGTAAAAAGTAATTATTTTGGAAAGTGGAAAATGATTATACTTATGAGGAAAACCCCACCTATTGATACTTAAGTACTTTTGAAAAGGAAAGGAAGATAGTATTTTCCCTTTACCTACAAAACTAGACTTAAAGATGATTTTTTTGTTGTAGGACTTTATTATTTGTATTGAGATGTTCCTGGCTGCTATTGCTCATCACTACACTTTCTCATACAAACCATATGTCCAAGAAGCAGAAGAGGGCTCATGCTTTGATTCCTTTCTTGCTATGTGGGATGTTTCAGACATTAGGGATGATATTTCTGAACAAGTAAGGCATGTTGGTAAGTACCAGTCATTGAATTTATCCAAATAGGTAATTTTTGTAAGGGCAGATTAGTAGCTATTTACCGTAAGAGATTAAAAGACTTTGTTTAAAGCAGTACCACAATAAGGCTCTTCAAATAAGGAGGGGGAAGGGGCGCTTATTTTTAGCATATAAGTTTATAAAGGCAAAATACGAATACTTACTTTTTGGCTAATTTGGAAACCTTTATATTACCTTAAAGGAAGGACAGTCATGGGACATCCTAGGAAAAAATTTTTTCCCGAGGATCAAGATCAGAATGAACATACAAGCTTGTTATCATCATCATCACAAGATGCAATTTCTGTTGCCTCTTCTGTGCCACCTTCCCCCGTGGGTCACTATCAAGGGTTTGGACGTACTTTGACTCCCCAGACTACCCCTACTATAGCTGATATATCTGATGAAATATGTAATGATACTACAGAAGAAAGAGAACCTTCAGATAAACCTTCAGATAAGCCCGTGGTCTCCTGAACAGTGTGTGAACACAAACTGCGCTACTGTTACTTCAATACCTGGTATCACATTGCTCAGGATTTTGTGCTTGGGACAAGCCATAAATGATGGGAAAATTTCAACACAAAGATAGGCGGAAGCCAGGTACTACTGGTTTTATATAACTACATTTTGTATGTCACAAATAACCAGTCTAAATATCCTAGACTTAAGACTCTTAAGATTTCTTCACATTAGAGTATTGCATACTCAAATGGTAGAAAATGACTATACTAAAAGTTCTTGATGTTACATGCTTTATCAAGAGGATGGGCATAAAAAAATAATAATAATCAATGCTTCCTACCACTGCTGCATGAAAATAATTCTCTGGAATTAGCAGAAAGTATAATTCAGAAAGTATAGGAATTAGTGGAACGTAATCATAATCATGTGCCATATATTTCTCAACTGGATGTCTTTCAATAAATAATAATTTATCATTTTCTGCAACTTTATGTCTATCATTCTTTAAACAGAAATCATTAATGTTTTAACAAAAAGGTCTTGATTAGAGAGGCATAGCATAAAATAAGCCCAGAAAAAGTAAGGGTAAAAATTATATGCCTACAATGAAAGATACCTAGTTCTTATATTCCTATTAGGATAAATAGCTCAGACCTAATCTTATTAATCTTACAACAACTACTATCTAAAAATCATTTGCAATAACGCTAATAGATTAATGTTATCTGTGACTTTGAGATGAAAAAAATAAACTGGATTGAAGACTGGAAGAATAAGAAACTTGTAGTAGAAAAGGAGTCTACTTTTCCTCAGTGTTATTAAAGGTGTCAGCTAATGTAAACTTATAAACCACAATCAGAAGACATGGAGGTGCTATGAATCTTATTACTTAGGATGGAGTTTCTGGGTCATATTTAACATTTTATACCAAAAATGAAATATAGAAAGTGCCATAGTAGTATGTTGCAAGTAGCAACAGTATTTGTCAAAACCCTGACTTTACATACTTATACACACACATATATTCACATATATACTGGTTCACAGTAATTACATACAAAGCCTTTACTGTGTCCACTATTATAAACTAAACATTTTTATTGAAAGTAAAGCCGGGTAGTATAATATTAGAGGTAATGAGAATAAGCAATGTGGAAAGAAGGTACATCTTATTTTCTTTGAGGCTTAGTTACAAATAGCACATAGTATATACACAGCATGATCATCTTATTAATCTATTTCAAGTCTTTAAAAATTAGGTCAATTATTGTATATTTCTTACTATGCATCCAAATCAAACCTTTGAACAATACTGGTTTAGGTTTAATTCTTTCTTGAATTTATCGTTTTCATTTTTTCTTTGCCAAAGCAGACCAGGAAAAATGCTTCCTTCATAAGATTTTCTTTCTTTCCTCTTTTAATTACATTTAGCTTAGCGTTTAAATTCTTTTTGCATTCCCAAATCACAAAACCTAAGAAGTTATTTCAAAAGTACACCCAGTATTTAAAAGAAGCAAGCTTATAATTTACAAGTAACCATAGCCTCAGTCTTCAGTGGAAGCCAACTTTTTGATGTTTCTAATTATAAGTTAGGACTTAAGGAATAAAGCCAAGATACCTAAATATTAAAAGTTTTGCTTTACTTTCTAAAACATGAAAATGAAGCCTTGGCTGGTTTGGCTCAGTGGATAGAGTGTCGGCCTGCGGACTGAAGGGTTCCAGGTTCGATTCTGGCCAAGGGCACATGCCCGGGTTGCAGACTCAATCCCCAGTAGGGGGCGTGCAGGAGGCAGCCAATCAGTGATTCTCATCATTATTGTTTCTATCTCTCCCTTCCTCTATGAAATCAATAAAATAAATAAATAAAGCATGACAATGAAGATGATTCAAAATCCTTTATAGCTTTAGCACATAAGTAAAAGTGTTTAGTAAAATTTAATCTATAGTGAGTAAACTAAGCAATAAAGACCAAGTTTTCCTAATGTAAAAACTAATGATTTGCTGCAGACTTCCTTTTTCAGAAAGGAAGTCTGCAGCAAATATTTTTGTAATAATACTACTACATAATGTATCTTTTAAATACATTTTATTAAAGGTCAATTTTTTAAAAAATTTCATCAATACAAGGAATTAAGTCTTTCTATCCCCCACTTTATGATTACAGTCACACTATTCAGAACAGAAAAGTTGTGTATTTGCTCTACGTAAACAGGTTTTCACCAGAAAACTGCTCTTCAGTGCTTCACTGTGATGCTGACGTTGCTTTTGTGGTGCTGGACATGGAGCACGAGTTCCTCCCCCATTTCCACCTGGATGGGATTATCTAAAACAACTGCAGCTTGTTTCCAGTGGGATACTTCACTGGACGTATCTAACCTAATCTCATCATCAAGATGCATATGATACCAAAATGGAATGGCGGTCACTTGTCCAGATTTACAAATGTGTACCTAGGAAAGTTAAGAAATCGTGAGAATTTCATCAGAACAAATAGACTTGAATAAGTCTTTGCCTTGTTAGTCAATATTAGATCCAAATTTCATAAATATATTTAATTAATAACCTATTTTACTCTATTTACCCAAGCCCATTTTTGCATATTGTTCAGAAAAGAAATAAACATTTAAATTTTCAAAGGAAGTGGCTAAAACAATTTTATGTACATAAAGTTTACCTAGTTTAAGATAATTGTTCTGTTATGACAAGAGTAATTATTTTAAGTTACCTTTACTTCTCTGTTAGAGGTATTCAAATATGGAGTCATTAAATCCAGTCTTAGGAGTTCCACTGGCTTGCTTAAAGGTATACAAGGCAGTGAGGACAGGTCCAAAAATGCACGAATAGGTACCTAAACAAAGTACAAATTGTTCACTTTTATTCAATTCTTTTTATGGCCAACTGATTACTTTGTACTTGGCTCAGTACAATACAATGCTTTTTTCATTTAGCTCAATTCTTAGATCAATCTTAAGGTAAAAGGAATTTCATGATCCCAGTTTTACAGTTTAGGCAGGTTAAATCATTTGTTTAAACCATGGTTTCAATTATCTATGGATTCTTTGCTTCGATGGAAACAGATTAAATTTTTACTTAAGCCAAACAGCTCAAAACTTTTAAACCAAGGATGTCTTACGTGTGAAAGATGAACTAATAAGCTAATAGTATAACATGAATTATTGAATTTGAGAAAATGTCAAATTCAACCAAACAACTTAATAGTGGATTTTGTTTGAAAATAAAATTTATTTCTATAAGGCAGTGATTCTCAACTTTGGCTACAAATTAGAATCACCTAGGGAGGCTTTAAAATCTGACCATTCAGGCCACACATCAGATTGATCTGGAGTTGGGTTCCAATTACCAGTAGCTCTGAAAGTAGTCATGCACTGCTTAACCAGGGGATATGTTCTAAGAAATTCATCATTAGCAAATATCACAGAGTGCACTTACACAAACCTAGATGGTACAGCCCGCTACTGTAATTGTGCGATGCTTTCCTGTGGCTGGTAGTGCAGTAGGTTTGTTTACAACAGCATGACCACAAATACATGAGTAATGCGTTGCTCTATGATATTACCATGGCTATGATGGCATTAGGCAACAGAAATTTTTGAGCTCCATGACAATCCTATGGGACCACTGTTGGATATGTGGTCCTTAGGTGACTGAACATCATGTGGGGCACATGACTATAGAGTTAAAATTGACAACTAACTGCTATAAAGTGTCCCATCACTTTCGCCTCATTTGAAATTAAAAGGAAACAAAAAGTGCCTTCCTGCCTGGCGGGTGTGGCTCTGTGATTGTCAACCTATGAACCAAGAGGTCCTGGTTCGATTCCCGGTCAGGTCAGGGCACATACCAGGGTTGTATGCTCAATCCCCAGTAGGGGGCGTGCAGGAGGCAGCCGATCAATGATTCACTCTCATCTTTGATGTTTCTATCTCTCTCTCCTGTTCCCCTCCTCTCTGAAATCCTGTCTGAATAAAATATTAGAGACACAGATACATTAACCTCTCCCTGGACATCCTTGAAGGCATCCATCCTTCCTTAGGTTGATTTTTATCCATAAGTTCCTTTGCTCTAGGAAACTGATAATGATCCTAATCCAGCTAAACATAATCCTATATAATAAAGAGCTAATATGCAAATGGTCATTGCACCCTCGCCCCTGGGCCAGGGGACCTGGTGCCTCGCCCCCCCCACCCCCCCGCCCCAGCACCAGGCCAGGGACCTGAGGCCACGCTCCTCGCCCTGCGGGGCTTGACAGGGGTGGGGTCAGCCAGGTCTGGGTCTTGCGTGATTTCAAGGCGCATGCAGGTGGGCGAGGACTTGACTCTGGGTCCCGCGGCACACCCCAGACTGACAGGAGGGAGATTTTCATATACATTTTACTAATTTTCTCTCATCTCTGACACTTCTATTAGAGAAAGGGCAAATAGTAATATTAAAATATTTCCTCTAATTAATTCCCTTTTAATGTACACGAGTTTCGTGCACCGGGCCACTAATGACTATATAAGATGAGAGAAGGTAGACTGTGGATAACAGCCCCATGGTTGAATTTCTCTTCTAGGCACTTACCTGGAACTGGTTAATAAAAGGTGCTATATTTAATCCAAGAGTTCGTGCTGTTCCTTGAACAGCATTCTCTTCTACCAGTGTCTGTGATTCCACGAGCAACCCAAACATCAGCACATACTGAGGAAAAATCTTGCCTCCAGATTGTAGCAAACACCTAGAGAAAGAGAAGTGTTTTAAAAAAAGCGTCTTGATGCCCCACATTTTATCAATACCAACAACTAAATCAAGATAAATTAGTGAGCTACAAATTATAAATAGTCTAACAGACTTTTCCAGATAAAAAGCTGATGGAAAAGTTTTCAATAGGCAAGCAGGCTGCTCCATAGTAGCTCTCCCTAAAGGCCAAATCATATACAGGTAATTTGATGAGCACAGTATCAGCAAGGGAAGTTAGAGATGATTCCTTAATACAATGGCACCAGAATAATGGAAACAAGCCATGCTCCTAAACCAGGATAATCTCAGTAAATATGAGCACATGATCATTTAAATTGTAGTAAGTCCTACATACACATTACCCTAAAAATGGACTCTACCTTGACCCCAATGCTTTACTCATATTTGTTATTCCTTTCCTATTAACTTTTTATCATTTTAAGTAGTCAGGCAGAAACTGTGCCAAGGTCATTCTCAGCATCTAGAAGGGTTCAGGAATCTGGAGAAGGGGCTGCGAGAAAATAAACTAGACATGAAATATAAATTTGGAAGGCATTTTTCAGGGGAGCCAGGGAAGGCTTAGCTTTAGTAACTAAGCTCCCCAAGTCTCTGGACCCCTAGCTTTTTATTAACACATTTTGCCCTATAGCAAAGCAGATTATATATATATATATATATATCTCAAAGGTAAAGTTTGGTAAACAGTAAGATTATCAGATTGGGGGAACTGCCCTTAGCTGTCTGGCAGCAGGCAATAATATATGCAGATTTTCAGGTTTGGGGAAATGCTTTCAGCTATTCCAGCAGCAGGTAATATGATTCAGCCCTGCTGAAGCCGCAAGTTCCATCAACCTTTTGATGAACTTCTTGCATTTATGACCTGCTGGAATCTACAGCAAAACTGAATTTCCACAATTGGTAAAATTATAGACCTTGTAACAAAATTATACAGCTTAAAAAAAAATTATACAGCCCTTAACAAAATTCCTATCTATGCCTTTACTAAACCCGATAAAATTTTAACCCCAAATAGCCACGAGAGGGTACCATTCTATGAAATTAGCAAGCTGGCCTGATCGGTTTTGCTCAGTGGATAGAGCGTCGGCTTGCGGACTGAAGGGTCCCAGGTTCAATTCCGGTCAGGGGCATGTACCTTGGTTGCGGGCACATCCCCAGTGGGGAGTGTGCAGGAGGCAGCTGATCGATGTTTCTAACTCTCTATCCCTCTCCCTTCCTCTCTGTAAAAGATCAATAAAATAAATTTTAAAAAAAAGAAATTAGCAAGCTGAAATTTGATTTTTTTCTTAGTTACCTTGAATATCTATTTTTATAGATCTCTACTTATTTCCCATATTATACTAGTATATAGGCAGTCCAACCCCAAAGCAGGTTCACTCTTCTTCACATCTACGATGGAGGGGGTCCTTTGAGGGGGAAAATCAGTAATTACATGCACACAAAGAGAAAGGTCTCAAGTCACAGGTCCTGAAAAGCAATGCTTGAGGAAGATACAAAATCATGAAATCATTTGTACAGTTATACCATTAAAGAACTAAAAGAATTCACATGAATTTTAAGTTAAAAAAAAAAAAACCCAACAGTTATATTTTGTGTTTTACCTGGATATTGCAGCTTTTTCCATTATTTCCTGCTGTATGAGCCCAGATGGCTCAATGACATCCAATATAATTATACTCCACAACTTGTCTGATTTGGGCCTTTGCAACACAGCAGATTCGTCTTCCACATGTCTCAACCAAAACTCAAGTGTTTCCTTAGGAAAGTGATTGGCTTCAGATATGAGGTCCAGAGTGATGCGATGCTGGTCTTTCTCCACAGAACTGTAAGGTTTAACCTGCCCCAATGTGCCAGCGATTATAGGCAGAACAGAGAAGCCTTCAGACACATCTAGCACATAGAAAGGCTCCGAGGCACTCTGTTCAGAATCATTCTGTCCACTTCCACAGCTCATCTCACTGTCCTGGCAGTGGGCGTCCACGGCCTGGCACAGCTTCTCTGGGGTCAGTGAAGACAGCACTTTCCTCATTGCCATTTTAAAGGCTTCATGATATGGAATGTTATTAAGCAAAGCAATTTCTGTGGATTCCAGTACACATGTCTGCTCCACAGCATCTGGTTTACTGGTCTGAAGGTTAGCCAGGGCACTACAGAGGTCAGCCTCATTTCCTAAAGACAGCAAGTCTTTATTCTTGGTAGAACTTTGTCCAACATCCATTTCATATTCCGAACTGAAGACACTGATACTCTGGACTCTTAAGTAGCAATCCTGACAAGACACTTCCATCATCACATGGTCCCCAGGCTTTATCCAGTAGTCTTCATAAGAAAGAAAGAAAATAATTATAATTGATGAATACAAGTGTTTATTAGCCTTATGATCACATAAACACATCTGTCCTCCCATTCCACCAACCCTTCCCATTTTTTAAATCACTACAGGGAGGATTATATATATTAATTTAATAGAATTAAGTGAATCAATCTATTAATTTCCTACACACACACACACACACAAAAAAAAAAAAAAAAAACCCTAGGAAAATCTCTTCAGCTTTACAAAGGGAAATAACTGAAGTTAAAGATTCAATTAACTCAGTCTAATACAGAGATTCAAGAGTTACATTATTGGACCTTAACTATCAGTATTTAGTGCTTTCCCTACAATCATTAGATATCCTTTGTGTCCCCAAACTGGAGGTGGGAAGGGCTACGGGGAACTCTCAATTTTCTTTGGCAATGAAGCTGACAATAACAAAGAGAGATGAACTTAAGGGATTAATACGAAACCTTATGTTAGCTTAAAGGGCCATTATTCTTTTCTCTAAAAGTAATTTCTAAAAGAACAAAAGCAGCCCTAATTGGTTTGGCTCAGTGGATAGAGTGTCAGCCTGCGAACTCAAGGGTCCCCAGTTCGATTCCAGTCAAGGGCATGTACCTTGGTTGTGGGCACATACCCAGTAGGGAGTGTGCAGGAGGCAGCTGATCGATGTTTCTCTCTCATTGATGTTTCTAACTCTCTATCCCTCTCCCTTCCACTCTGTAAAAAATCAATAAGATATATTTTTTTTAAAAAAAAGAACAAAAGCAGTATTCACTAGAACCATATCAGTAATATCTCTTAACCATCTTGCATATTTGAAAATATAAGGAAAGAATAAGTCCTACAATAAACTGTGTCATGCTCTTTTCCATTAGTTTTCACTTAATGAAACTTTAAAATGTGAATGTACAATTGCAATCTCTTATCAGCACTAAAGCAGTTGAAAATACAAATTATTCTTCTTGTGTTTAAACATTTAAAACATGTCCTTTCCCAAGAAAGATTAAAAACAAAAAGACCATGTGTCTAAGTTACTGTAAGAGACTTAAAATAAATAAACACAAATAGAAAATATCATTTAAGCACCAATCACTATGGTAAGCATTTTACATCCATCATCTCTATTAATCCCTACTACAATCCTGCAAGGGAGGCAGCAGCATCCCATTTTACACATCTCATACCAGAAGCTCTGAAAAATAACCAGCAAGGACAGCCAGGGAGTCAGAAAGTAGCAGAGCTGAGACCTGAATCCAAATCTACACAACTGAGTCTAAAAACACCATACTAGCCACAACCCTGCGCTGACTTCATGACTTAATGACTATGCCAAATCAGATCCTTGATTAGGAAAAACAAGTAACCACTTTAAAAAGCAGAATTTTTCTATGCACTACAACTGCTGTGAAATACACTGAAACCCATCAATTGCTGGTCCAAAATATTTTCTATACAAAAAATATCTTTAATATAGAATTTCCTTAGAGAAGTCCATAAATTCATGAACTCTCTAAAACTACAAACTTGTGTACTTATATGAGTGTGTGCCTTTCGAGGACATGGGGCTCCACAGATGCCATCAGGTTCTGTAAGCGGTAAGAACTCCTGCATTAAAAGTAATACTTTTTGCCCTGACCAGTTTGGCTCAGTGGATAGAGCGTTGGCCTACGGACCGAAGGGTCCCAGGTTCGATTTCGGTCAAGGGCATGTACCTTGGTTGCAGGCACATCCCCAGTAGGGGGGGCATGCAGAAGGCAGCTGATCGATGTTTCTCTCTCATGGATGTTACTGACTCTCTATCCCTCTCCCTTCCTCTCTGTAAAAAGTCAATAAAAATATATTTTTTTAAAAAGGTAATACTTTTCTGTTTTATTAAAAATGGGCTAGCATTGCTCTTATCTACTGCTGGAGAAATGATTTAATAATAGATTTTTTTTAAAATACATATTTTATTGATTTCAGAGAGGAAGAGTGAAGGAGAGAGAGAGAAATATCAATCATGAGAAAGAATCATTGACAGGCTACCTCCTGCACACCCCCTACTGGGGATCGAGTAACCCGGGCATGTGCCCGTGACTGGAATCAAACCCAGGATCCTTCAGTCCACAGACTGATGCTCTATCCATTGATCTAAACCAGGTAGGGCAATGACAGATATTTTCGAATAGTATGCAGAAGAGTTGTGTTTTAGTTTCTCTTATCAACCTACATATATATTATTTAAAGCTACTTTTAAAATAGAAAAAGAAAATTCTCAGAGCTGTCATCAGTCTCCCTTGACTAGAAACTTCAAAGTGATTTTTTGACAATGCCTCAAATGCTTAGAGGATTAAAACAACAAGTGTAAGAAAACGAACAGAAAAAAAAATTAGACAAGGTCAAAATCATATATGCTCACTGCTTAATCATCACTTGTACTTTTTCATTTCATTTTTCCAGCTTCCTTGCATTATTATAGTGTCACTGGATTTTAAGAGCTTGTTTATAACTAAAGATGTTAACCATTTCTCATGCATTGCAAATGATATACCATGTTTTTTGTTACTATTTTACTCTGCTGTTTTACTTTTTGGTTGTATCAAACTTGTGCATTAAATATAATCATATTCTGTTTAAAAAAAAAAAAAAAAATTAGACAAGGTAATACCTGCAAGGTCATGTACGGGGTAGACAGCTTGTTCCCAACATGATTCCTCACTAGGACTTGTGCACAAACTATGTTCATCATCAAGCTGGAGTACAAACCAAACCACAATGGCATCTAGTATGCCTTCTTTAATAACAGGAACACCAATTTTATCAGGTTTTCTAGTTGCAAGACTTTTTAATTCCTACAAAAATATAAAAGGATTTTATACACTTAATATTTGCATATCCCAATATCATATCACTTTCCATTTCTGCAAGTACTCAGTCTGGCCATAGACCCCGGGGACTTGATATCTTGGCACTCCTGAAACCACTTAGGGCACACTGATGGGAAGCTCTGATGTATCACAGTGGAATACATGCAGCTATTAAAAACAGGGAAGCAGATACATATTACTGACATAGAAAGAAGTCCATGCTAAACAGGGTGGGACAAAGTAGGTTTACAGGTGTGAGTACATGAAACACTGAGTTCATTCTGATATTATTACTTATTATTATTACTTTTCATATGAAGAACTACAAACCTACTTTTGCCCCTCCCTTATTGCTGAATGAAGGCAGTGTGAGTGGCAAAGCAATAGAGATTGTTTTGTTTTTTTAAAAGTGTGTGTGTGAGAGAGAGAGAGAGTGTGTGTGTGTGTAGAATAGAAAAGCAAGTCTGAAAAGATGCATTTGAAACCAGTAACCTGGGGAAAGAAGGACTTAAGTTTTGTTTTTTTTAAAAAGACACTTTTTCTTTTTCCTTTCTATTCTTCTGTATTATTTTAAAGTATTAAACAGGCAGATATTACTTTCAAAATTAAAGACTTAATAAAATGTATTTTTTATTGTGTCAAAGAAAAATTAAAATAAGAAAAGCTTGAACTAAGAAAAGGATAGCTTCGGGGTACTTAGCAGCTGTAATCACCTTGTTCTCTATGTGATATCAGGGAAAAAATGTTCTTGAAGCTCAGCCTTAGTAAGCAATGCCAAAATGTTCATTTAGCTCTAGATCACTTCAAGAAAAAGCTGGTAACAATTAATAGGAGAAAGCTTTTATTAAATTATAAAAATCTTAGGCTAAAATGACTCTCACAAAGTCTTCTGTCCCCAGATAGGTTTCATCTAAAGAAATGTATATACTTGAACATTTAACCTTAATTAAAGAGCTTCAAAGAAGGATTTTGTTACTTTTCTCGATTCCTTTGGGCACTTTCTTTGTATATTCACTTCCTTCCACCACTCAGCAACACACACATAGAGACACTGGGGTGATCAACTTATCCTGGTTTACACAAGACTATCCTAGTTTTAAAAGTCAAAGTCCCACATCTCAGGGACTTCTTACTCCTCGGCAAACCGAGATGGCTAGTCACCCTAAAAATCATACAATCCAGAGATGTGGATTACTATTCATTTGGAGGAGTCAACTATTAATTTGGGGAACGTTAATGTAAGCAACAGTTCTTTCATCTGTATAGCACACAGATAAGTACAACCATATTACAAGATTCTTGCCTGAGTGACCTAAGAACACATGTGAAAACACCTGGCATATTAGACATTCCCAACAAATGTTAGGGATTTCTTATCTCTTTTTTTTAAAGTGAATAATTTCAGGAGGGAATTCTGGTTACTGTTTAATCATTTTCTTTAAATGGAATTCCATGCAAACGAAAATAAGACTGTCTTATGTATTAATTATTTTAAACAACAGATAAAGTTTAATGCTCAAAAACAGTAATTGAACTTTTTTTTTTTTACCTGAATATTATTGAAATCTACTGTCATAATTTCAAAGCACTCTGTCAAAGCCAAATATCCACCAGGAATTCGACTCATCTTTTCAGTTGTATAAGGTTCAACTGTTTCTTCGGTATCTACAGAAGAATAAGTTGGACTCTGAAATTTCACATTTGTTGGCAAACAGATCCCAGCAATGTCCTTAATGCCCACCCTGGTGAAAGAGGAGATAAGAGAGGGGAAAAAAAGATGAGGTTCTTTTTTAGAATCAAGTAGCATCATCTAGTATTGTATCCATCAAAAATAAACATAAAAATAAAATAAAACTTCAGAGACAAAGTTTTCCTTAACATAATTATATACATAATCACTAACTATAAAGGAAAACATAATGGGTCTACATTACAATTAAGAACTTCTGCCCATCAAATGATACCCAACCCTAGCTTCTCAGTGGTTAGAGTGTTGGCCTCTGGACTGAAGGGTCATGGGTTCAATTCCAGGTCAAGAGCACATACCTTGTTGTAAGTTCGATCCCTGACCACTATCAGGGGATGCATGCAGGAGGCAACCAATAGATGTGTCTCTCTCACATCAATGTTTCTCTCTCTCTCCCCTTCCCTCCCTGTCCATTCTCTCTAAAATATCAATGAAAAAAATATCCTCGGGTGACGATTAAAAAAAAAAAAGGTACCCAGTAAGATAGGAAATAGTCAAGCCATTAAGTAGGAAAAATTTGTAATACATCTATTCAACAAAGGGCTCCTATCCAAAATATATTTTTAAATTCCTACAAATTAATAAAAGAAAAACTGAAATTGACAAAAGACTTAAACGCTTCACAAAAGAGCATAACCAAATGGACAATAAACAAAGAAAAAGCAAATAGATTTACTGATACTTTGAAAACAAAATATAATTTACACACACACACACATTTACTTACACAGAGCTAACATTCAACCAGTATACTCTAATTCAGCCAATGTTCTGATTAAGGCCACTATCTATGTGGTCAGTGCACTGTGCCCTACCAATCACTACATATTTTTTACATATCACCTGTAATATGCATAGAAAAGTATAAGGAAGAATATATAATAAAGATGGACAATAGTTATCTGGATGATTTTTTTCTTTAGGATTTTTTTTCCAACTGATTTTTAGAGCAAGGGGAATGGAGAGGAAGGAAGAGACAGAAACATCACTGTGAGAAACATCAATTGGCTGCTTCCTGCACACCCTCTCCAGGGATTGAGCCCCAACCCAGGCATGAGCCCTGACCAGAAATTGAACTGGCAACCTTCAGGTGCACAGGATGACACCCAACCAACTGAGCCACATGGGCCAAGGGCACGATGATTATTCTTTTACCCATCAGTATTTCCTAAAATATTTGTATGTTACATTTACTACCAATAAGTAATTGGAAGGGGGGGGGGGGTCCTTAAAAAGTCCTCAGAAAATACAGATCAACATTTTAGCAAAATAAAACACTCACGATGCTCAAGAACATGTAAACAAGAAACTTCTTTAACTAAAAAAACCTTTTTATCATAGTTGATAAGTAAATCTTAGCATCTCATGGGTAGAAAGATCCTTAAATTTCATTCACCTCAATCACAAAAGATTTACTATTAATAAAGTTATTAAGAATGAATGAGAGAAATAAAGTAAATTATTTTCATGTTGGAAATTTTTACTTTACTTTCATCTAAAATCAGTGAACTTAATATTTTCCTATGTGAATCTATCACATAGGAAAAGGATATAAGTTGTATCAAAATTAATTTTCCACTAGGAAATTGAAGCTGGTTTTAATCCTAGAATCCTAAGTTTTAAAAAATTCAAAAAGAAAATTAAGATCTGAATAAACATCATGAATTTAAAGGTCAGAAAACTACAAATTCTCTTTCAAATAAATATTCATTAACCTTTAAAGTATAGTCAATCCTTTAAATTATAATTTTTTAAGTAATTGCTATTTCAATAATCACTTACCTATGATGTCTTCTTATCTCTGCACATTCTACTGCCATGCCAAATATAACAGCACTTGCTGGTATAACTTTCCCATACTTTCCACAGTTACCATTTTCACCTTTGGTCTAAAAATATAACAATAAACATCAGATTCAGTTACATTTATGCAAAAATATATAATGACAACATCTAAAAATTAATAGAAAACTAAAGAACAATAGGTAAGAATAAGCAGGTTATGTTTTTTTTTCTTCAAAGTTTATTTTATTTTCATTGCTCTATGTATGTACTTATATATATTATATATACATTTTTTTAACAATACAAACAGGAAGGGAAGGAGGGAGGGGGGGTTATAAGGGTATAAATATGCATATGGCAAAAAACTACTGGATATTGACTTTAGAAGCCAAAATCACCATTACCTACTTGAAAAACAACCTGCTCTTCTTCTCAATTTTTAATTAGTTATTTTAAATCCAAACCACTTTCTGTAAGTAGTGAATTCTTATTACATGTTAAAATCATTTCGTTCATAATATGTATTATATAAACCAAACCTACAATTTGTAGGCCACTGTAAAGGATTTTAATGCAAAATATAATTCGGCAATTACAAGAGTTAGTCACCTGAGTCAAACTAGTGCCTTAAAACCATACCAAGACAGTTATTTCTAAACTCTCAATAATTTGCCAAAATTTCAAGCAGTGAGGGCTGTGAGACTGAAAGTTCTTCCTTTCTCAATCTCACTCAAGAATTCAATAGTTAGTCAGTCCCTTCACAATACAATCTCAATTCCTATGAATTCCTTTTTGCCTGTATACCCCATTTGGGCACACAAGTATACACTGCATTATGTTAGTAAGTGTTTGTGGGGTGTATTTTTTATAGATTTCTTTGTGATAGGGGCTCAATGAATATCTGTTAAGATAATGAATTCTATATCAAATTTACCTAATTTCATGCTGCTTACCTTTGGCTGCAAAAGTAAATGCTCCCATGCATGAATCAAACTCTCCACAATTCCTTCTCCAAATAAACCTGCATCGACAGTTTCTGTTACAACTAGGGACACTCTACAGAATGATTTTTTAAAAATACATGTAAGTAAAATATCATGCTTTTATATAAAGATGTCAAAGCTGAGAAAAAAAATGAAGAGTATATTACAGAAACAGTCCACAAGTAAAATTTCCTAACACATTTCATTTTTAATATTTACTCTTGAAATGTGAAGAACTTGACTCTAATGTTCCTCAGGCTCCTCTGTATTCCACTAACTTCTTGGGGGCGGGGGAGGGTGGCACAACCTGCAGTTGACTCTGCTGCCCCCTCAGACTCTTTTCATTGCCTAAATCAGCCGTTTTCAACCTGTGGGTCGCGACCCCTTTGGCGGTTGAACGACCCTTTCACAGGGGTCGCCTAAGACCATCCTGCATATCAGATATTTACTTTACGATTCATAACAGTAGCAACATTACAGTTATGAAGTAGCAACGGAAATAATTTTATGGTTGGGTCACAACATGAGGAACTGTATTTAAAGGGCCAGAAGGTTGAGAACCACTGGAAATCCTTAAGAGCGGCTCATACCCATTAACGTTACCAGTCCCTCCCCTTAATGCCGACTAATTGGACTTCCATGCACAACACTATATAAAAACACTGTGCATCATCAAGGACTCCCCTACTTATCCAAATAAATAATCTCTCTCAGCTTTCATTTTCCTTGATCTACAAATAATATTCAATGCAGGTGAGAAGCCCTGCCTCTCAAAATCCTTCTCTACCTTCATTATCCATGTTTACCGCTTACATGTTGATTGTGCCTCTCCTGTTACTTCTCTTGCTTTTTACCCACTACCTGTGAGTTTTCACAAAAGTCTAATCCACAGAACTCTGATCATCATTCATTTTTTCTTTCTAGAAATTTTCATCCAAAGACACACCAAAATGATTTTTTTCTCCCTTCTCTAAACTTCTTTAGAATTTATTGTATCATTCAGTGTAATTAGAAGGTAAAAAAAAAAAAAAAAAAAAAAAATTTTTCTGACTATTCCTATCTTCCTATCTAGATTATAGGTGCCTTGAAGAAAAAGAACAACTTTAGTATCCCCCACAATGCCTAGACACAATATTTTATATATACACACATTTTCAGTACTTATAATTACATACATTTACAAAGTAGAAGGTATTGCAAACATTTAGTCCAACATCATAAATCTCTAGATTTGTTCAAGGTCAAAATAAATTAATAATAGAATCTGTATTGGGTCCTTCTACAACACTATCTGTGAGAAAAATTTATTTACTATTATTATTATTATTATTATTTAGAGAGAGGAAGGGAGAGAGAGAGAAACATCGACTGGTTGCCTCCAACACATGCTGCAACAGGGGATGCAATCCTAAACCTGGGTATGTGCCCTGACGGAATCGAACCCACCACCTTTTGGTGTACAGAGCGATGCTACAACCAACTAAGCCATACCAACCAGGGAAGTAAAATGTAAATAACTCTGATTCATGCTATGGACTTAACTGTGTACCACCAAAATTCATATAAGTCCTAACCCACAATGTGACTGTATTTGGAGAGAAAGTCTTTAGGAGGGAATTAAGGTTAAATGAGATCATTAAGGTGGATAGAACTGGTATCCTTATAAAACTGAAAGAGACACCAATGATCTCTCCCTCTCCTCACATGCACAGAAAAAGGCCATTTGGGAACACAGCAGGAAAGCAGCCATCAGCCATCTGCAAGCTAGAAAAAGAACTCTCACTAGCACCCTTTGATCATGGACGTCTAGCCTCCAGAACTATGAGAAAATAAATGTTTGTTGTTTAAGCCATATAGTCTGCAGTATTTTGTTACAGTGGCCTGAGCAGACTAAGACAATTCAGGACACTGTTTCTATAAAATGGGTATAATTATCTGTTTCAACAATCTAATAGTACTTCTTTGTAAGTACTATGTAAATATAAACATTATTATACATATATGAAAGAAGATGTTTTAAAATCATAGTCCAAATGATAAGAATCCCATGTAATAAAAGGCTAACATGCAAATAGAACAATGGAACAACCGGAACAATCGGTCGCTATGACATGCACTGACCACCAGGGGGCATGTGCGGAACATAGCAGGCATTGACCGTGGCTGGATGGTGGAGCAGGTGAGCAGGGGCGCCAGACCAAGGCGGGGTACTGGTCACTGTTATCGGGGTGAGCCTCTGGTGGTTACTGAAAATTCTTTGCTCCCACGTGCCATGGTCCTGCTCAGCACTCACACCTGCTGCTGGCGCCAGCCCCGCTCTCACTCACAGCCTGCACCTGAGCCACCTCTTGCACAAAATGTAGTAAGTCCACCAAGGTTGATCAACTCATATATTATTTTAGAGTAGAATTTTTAAAGTTATTGACTACATAGGAGTTATTAATCCATTTTTACAACTAGAACACTAAAATGAACAAAGGTACAGTAACTTGCTAAAGGTCAAGTTCATTTATTAAGTCCCTTACCACAAATTTTTCTCAAGATCTTTAAATATTTATTATCAAGAATATGACCTGCCCTAGCTGGTTTGGCTCAGTGGTTGGAGCATCAGTCTGTGTACTGAAGGGTCCCAGGTTCGAGTCCGGTCAAGGACACATGCCCGGGTTGCAGGCTTGATCTCCCTGTGCAGGAGGCAGCCAATCAATGATTCTCTTCTCATTGATGTTTCTATCTATCCTCCCTCTCCCTTCCTCTAGGAAATCAATGACCTTATGGCCCTGCCCTGTGTTTCTCAGTGGGTAGAGCATTAGATGGCACAATAAAGGGTCACAGGTTCGATTCCCAGTTAAGGGCATGTACCTGGGTTGCGGGTTGGCTCCCCACCCCAGGTCAAGGTGTGCAGGAGGCAACCAATTGATGTGTCTCTCTCACATCAATGTTTCTCTCTCTTTCTCTCTCTCCGCCACCCTCCTTCCGTTCCACTCTCTGAAAAGCAAGGGGGAAAATATCCTCAGGTGAGGATTAACAACAAAAACGGCAAAAGAATATGATCTTACTATGAAAACCATCTTATGCTAAACTATCCTATATCCATAACTTTATAGTATAAAGGTTTTAGCATTTTTGTTTGGACTAGAAACCAGCAACGCAAATATCTTACTTTTTAAAAAATAGTGGATTATAAATACTAAAATTAGTTCACATTTATAATACCTTTCGGGAATGTGTTTTGGAACTTCTATCTCAAGCGACTTCATATGTAAGAGTTTGATTCCTGCTTCCATCTTGTTCGCTGCCACTACATCACAGGCGAGTTCATACATGGTCTGGGATAACTCACAGGCATACACCGAGTGCGCTCCAGCTCTTTTAGCAAACATACTACAAGGGGAAAAGTGCTCCATCAAAAAAAATAATAATTCACTGTCTTTTTTCAAGTATTAGTGGAATTGTGATACTTAAACATGGGCTTTCTTTTTATTCTTTAACACAACCATTATTCATTCCAAATTAAAAAATGAATTAATATTCTTGTCAAGAAATAAATCATACAATAAATCATGATGTCCAGCAGATTAAGAAAACAAAACAGGCATGAAGAATACTAATAGACTTAAATAACTAGATTCAACCAGAGTATTAATATAAAAATTCTACTGAAATTCATTATTCAAAATTCCAATAACCCCAAATTTTTCTTAGTAGTTAAGTCCAGTTCTTGATAAAGCAAAAGTTACAGTGAAAAATATAATAGTTGTATGAATAGTCATAATAAGATTATGAGAAATAAATTAAACTCTATTTTTAAATTCCACAGGTAAATATTCCATATTTGGTAAATCTTTAATTTACATTAGTATACATGCATATGTAATTAAAACACAAGTACAACAAACCTTAGTATTCCAGTTCCTGCTCCAATATCCAAAACACTTTTGGACCCCAAACAAACTGCCTTTTGGATTGCTGCATTATAAATCGTATTCCTTTTGGTGTCATTAAGCATGATAAAGTGCCAACGTTCCACCAACCAATTTGCAACACGATAAAAGTTCTCCTTCGCATCACTGAAATCAGGGTTTAGCTTCACTGCTTTATGAAAATATCCAGCTGCTTCATCTCTAAAGCCCATTCTAGAGTAAAAAATGACAGACAAAAAATTTAACTCTAGGCTATCAATTACAGTGCCTTCATCCATGTCACTCATCTGGCCTGAGAATCCCTCACCAGCACATCAAATCTTACTCAACCCAAGTGTCATCTCTGGGAAGTCTTCACTGAGAATTGCAATCCTTCATCACTTCTTTCTTTTCTGAACCCCTATTATATTTAGGCATTCCAGGACCCTAACAAGCGCTTAACTATAAATTACTACTGTACCATGTATAGTAGAAGCGCTCAGTCATCCTTCATTTAACCAACCTAACAGAACACCAGTGCTTTCTAAAAGCCATTCTCTCTGTAAAAAGGTACTAATATCTATGGCTAGTAGGCTCCTCTCTGGGCTGCCTACATACCATTTCTCACAGCAACTGAGCTGAATGGTCATCAAGAGTCAGTTGAATTGGCTGCCAGACCAGTTTATACCGGTTGTACTTGTTACCATCATTACATATTTTACTGAAAGGTTACAGAAATGAAATAAATATGACTGCAATAAAAAGAGCCACTGTTTCCAAGAACACTAAGCTAAATGTTTTGGAAAAAATCAAAGGCGAGTCATCCAAAAAATTACAACTGAATTCAATGTGATAAAATAAAAAATACAAGAGAAAGGGAAAAAACTATCAAACCATCCAGAACTATTATAGTTTCTTAAACTATCTATCTAATAAAGATAGACAGTTCCACCCCTTTTGAAGTACCGAATCCTTTATAAACCAACTAGAGGCCTGGTTCACGAATTCGTGCACCAGTGGAGTTCCTTGGCCTGGCCTGTGGGATCAGGCCGAAACCGGCTCTCCAACATCTCCCGAGGGGTCCCAGATTGCGAGAGGGCGCAGGCCAGGCAGAGGGACCCCTCCAGTGCACAATTAGGACCGGGGAGGGACGCAGGAGGGCTCCAGGGCGTGTCTGGCCCATCTCACTCAATCCCGATCGGCCGGACCGCAGCAGCAAGCTCACCTATTGGTCAGAACGTCTTCCCCCTGGTGGTCAGTGCACGTCATAGCAACTGGTTGACCGGTTGACTGTCTGCCCCTGGTTGTCAGTACACGTCATAGTGAGCAGTTGAGTGGCCTTAGCATATCATTAGCATATTACTCTTTGACTGAACAACCGACTGGATGACCGGACACTTAGCATATTAGGCTTTCATTATATAGGATAGTTGTACTGCACATGACTAGTATTTCAGCAGCACTCAACTAGTCCAAACTCTTTTCAACAAGCACGTTCCCTGATTAAATGTTTGGATTTAAATTCCTAAAGGCTTACTCTCAATTTTTGTATTAATCTGTCATTAATCTGTCCACACATTGTGGTCCACACATTGAAGAGAACTGAGCTAGTAGAACCCTTTTACACTCAGATTTCTTCACAAGCACCCTGAAGCATTCTATCAACTTGAAAGAAACAGAATCAGCCCTAGCCAGTTTGGCTCAATGGATAGAGAGTCAACCTGTGGACTAAAAGGTCCCAGGTTCTATTCCGGTTAAGTGCACATGCCCAGGTTGCACGCTCGATCCCCAGTGGGGAGCATACAGGAGGCAGCCAATCAATGATTCTCTCTCATCATTGATGTTCTATCTCTCTCTCCCTCTTCCTTCCTCTCTGAAATTAATAAAAATATATTTTTTTAAAAAAAGAAACGGAATCAGACTATTCACTGTATGATTTAAGCAAGAAAAGGGAACTCCAAACAGGAAACCGCACTCTAACAAAAGGCAATCAATCGCCCTACATAAAATGAAGTTACTCATATTATCTTTAAGTATCGTGAAGACAGAGCTGTCTTATTCTTATTCAGCAACTGCCAAAGCATACAGTACAATGCAAAAAATAGACCGTAAGTAACCATTATTTGTCGAGAAACCAACTTAGCAATGGATATTTTAAAATTTCAAAATTTGAACGATCTGTTAAATCAATGCCAAGCCTGCATCTAATCATTTCCTGGGTTTACATTTCCCTTAGGCTTGACCCTTAATGTATAATTCAGTTTTCTTAAACTGCAATGCTAATCTAAAAAATACATGATCCACTCAAAGTACATCTTTTACGGAAACACTCATGTGTCCCAATAACACCAATGAACTATAAAAATGCCTTTTTTCTTTTAACTAGAAAAAAACATTATTTCCCTGACTAGCAATTTAATGTATCTTAAATCTGACTGGCTAACACAAGGAGACACTCCAGACACCAACTTTATCTCACAAATATCAGGAAAGGAAGCTATCATTTACTTTGGAAATCTTTTTCTCCTGGAAAAGTGATTCCTTTGGTGGGGAGTAAGTTATACACTGGTTTTTTTTTTGGTTTTTTTTTAAATATATTTTATTGGTTTTTTACAGAGAGGAAGGGAGAGGGATAGAGAGTTAAAAACATTGATGAGAGAAACATCGATCAGCTGCCTACCGCTGGGGATGTGCCCGCAACCAAGGTACATGCCCTTGACCGGAATCGAACCCGGGACCCTTCAGTCCGCAGGCCGACGCTCTATCCACTGAGCCAAACCGGCTAGGACTATACACTGTTTTGATAAGAAAAATAGAATGGAACAAAAGCTAAGAACCCCTGTCCTAAAGAACAAAGGTAAACTATACATCAAAAGCCACATTCACATTATCACAAATTCTGAACTGACATTGTCTAAATTCAAAATGTTGCATAGTTTTACATCTCCCCTGAAGCAAATTAACACCAAGTTTTTCTGTTGTTTTTTTTTTCAAAAATAGTTCACCAACACTTACAATCTGCCAAAAGTGTAGAAGTGTAGCACTCAAATTGTCGGTTAAATTGAGTTTATTCTAAAACTTAAGTCTTATCATGTTATGATCATTATATGTGTGTAATATGGAAATATAATTGAGTCCTATAAAGTAATTTTACTTGCATAAACTAAAGAACTACAGAAAACGTTGAACTTAAAATGTAGATTTCCAACTAATTTGAAGAGTTACTTAAAAATCTTTTTAAATTAAATTTCATTTAAATGGAGAGTTGGCTGCTAATTTGTAGAGATGGAGTCTGTGTATCAGAATCAGGTTAGCTGTCAGTGTAAACAAACAAGCCACAGTTGACAATCTGTCTTATTTTCCTAGTTACTATCATACTCTGCAACTAGAAACTATCAAATATTTGTCTCTTAAAGGAGTACTCATTTCACTCCACCAGCCATTTCGACTAAGACTATAGTTACATAACTGAGGCTGACTAATAAAGTCTGACACAGGTATTTCTTATATAGAATTTTTCATAGAAAAATAAAACTTAATGTGACCAGATGAGCAGAGCCAAGAAGTGAAACCAGATTTATTAAAACAAATCCAAAACAAAAATTTCTGGTATTTTTATCAGTCCTAATTATAAAGTTTCTAAGGAGAGTAGACAGAAATTCTAATGGCAAATTTTGGCAAGTTCCAGAGAACAGATTTACAAGTTCCCTGGAAAAGCATCACAGGACTTCTCTGCCATCTGGGAACCACGTTACATCCGCTTCGCAAGGTCTGGATCTCAGCCTAGTGGGGGGACACTTCCCTGATACTCACCTCAGCCTTAGGGACAGTGGCTATTATACATTATGTGATAATTGTATTAAAACTGCTCTGTTATCACATATTATGTCTGCTATTCCTATATTCTTCTGAGTTCTCTTTATAGCTTATTAGCTAATCCCTCTTTACTCTATCCTGTTACAGTTAATAATTCTTTATATTAAACTTTCCCTGTTCAAATTACTTTACAATTTATCCCTGATCCGGGTGATACAGAATAATTCTTAACAAGTAATCTGAAATCACTACACACCTGAAGAGATGCTCCCCCATACTATTGCAAATCACTTCATCATCAGGAAACAGTTCCAGGGCTTGCTCATAGCAACCAAGTAAGTCTTGTGTTCTACTGAGGGCATCAAGCTCTTCAGCCCATCTGAAGAGTGTATACTGGAAAGTTTCCTTTACAGAAGAGAAAATGGCAAATTAGTCAATAACAAAAATGAGGAACGACAATACAACACATGTTGAAGATTCCCCAGAGAGTAAAACTATCATCTTAAATTTTATTTATCTCTAAAAGGCACTGTTTGCTAAACAAATACATAAATGAATAAATTTTACCATTTCGTGGTAGTAAATTAGACAGTTTGACCTCTAAATTCTCTCCACCCTTAGCTGCAATTTCACATTCTCCACCTATCTCTTTTTTGTGGGCTTCTGTGTTTTGGGAGTTTGTCTTTGGCCTTCTTCTCTTTTCTCATCCATCCCCAGTGCATTAACTATCACCTGTGTGTTGACAGATGCTACATCTGCCATCTCCAATCCTGACGCTCTTCTGAACCTCAGCTTCATAACTTCCTACCAGTCATCTCAACCAGGGATTGCACCCTTCGTCACCTCAAATTCAGCTCAACTCAAATATTTCCTGGACAAAAATCAGTGTGCAAAGAATAGCATGAACAACATAAATCCTGTTCCAATCCTCACAGAGGCCTTGTAGAGAGCATTTTCACATACAATTTTGAAAAAAATTTAAAATGTTCTATACGAATGCTCTCACACAGGATATAAGGTGAAGGTACCACCTGACCGAAAACCATTTAGTCACCTTATAATGCTACCTTAACTCCAATACAATTAGTTTCAAACCCAGCCTGTTCTCTCTCAATGTCTTTACACCTGTCACCTCCTCTCCAATCCCAGTGTTACAACATAATCTGGCCCTTTAACCACTTGCTGGACTGTCACCCTCCCTCCGATTACATTTCCCTCCAGTCTCCACACTGCAACACAGTGGAAAGAGAGAAGGCTTTAGTCATGCCAGCTTTAACATGAACACATTTTACATCATCTTCACATATTTTTTACAGAAGAGTTAATACCTGAAACTGAATTCTGATGAAGTTTACTAGAGAGCCAAGAATATAAGGAAGAAGAGTCTAGGGTGTGACGGGGGAAAAAAGCACAGATTATATGAAATGGATTAGAGAATCAATAGGTTAAGGTTGGTGTGGCTGAAGTGTGGGTATGGGGAGTAACAGGAAAAAAGACTAAAGAGACTGGTATTTTTCAAAAGCCCAAAGAAACACAATTTTGTTCTGCAGAAAACAGAGCTAGTTACTGAATGCCAGGCATTGAAATATGAATTTTAGATGTACTTTTCATACACATTAAATATCTAGTAAAAAGATATTGTCCCAGTTTTACAAGAGGAAACTAAGGAACAAAGAATAGAGGAAATGCACTCGAAATGACCCATTATTCCACTGCTACCTAGAAAAGCAAACTGTATCTAAACATATCATCTTCCCCTCCTTTAAGCCAGCTGGTCCTAAAATTCACACTAAATTTATGTGAACTACAAATTGGTATCTATTGGATGGAGGTCAGGGTTGTTGTTAAACATGCTGCAGTACACAGGACAGGCCTCCACAACAAAGAACTATGCCACCCAAAATGTCAGTAGAACTGAAGTTGAGAAACCCTGAGTGAAATAAAGGAAAGTCGTTTGAGGCTGAAAACTGAAGCAAAATTAAATCCCTTTTGCAAATATAAATTCTAAAATAACTTGGAAAAATGTACCGCATTTCAATAGAATAACTGCCACAAATAATCTGATAACCAAATCTAAAAGAATGCATCATCAAATGAATACTTTAGGCTAATTCCAAAATGTATCCAACCACAGAAACCCGTAACATTCCTGCTGTATACAGTAGGCACCAGTGCAAAGGCCCTGAGGCAGGGACATGCTAGAATTCAACATAGGAAATGGGAAGTGATCACCAGAGGCCTCATTTGCAATAGAGCCTTGGGAATCTGAGCGAGAAGGAAATTTTGAATTAGAAAAGTGATGTCATCTGACTTCTGTTTTGTAAAGCTCACGCCGGTCGCTGGCTTCATCGGGGTAAACCGCAGGACAGAGCCTAGTTGCAAGCCTATTCCAAGTCTGCAGATGACTGAGGCTTCCACCAGGGTAGCAAAGGTGGTGACAAGTGGTAAGATTCTGGACCTATTTTGAAGGTGGAGCAGACAGGATTTTCTGATGGGCTAGCTGTGGGTGTGAACAAAAGAAGTCCAGGCTGAACAGTAAATAGCAACAGCAACCAACTTAGCCCCCTTCTCCCAATTTATTTATGTCTGTATTTACTCTTCGGAGAACAGAGGACCTGCCAGCAAGGGGGAGAAAGAAGGGCTCTCCTCACCTTCACATCGTCTTTCAGCTCCGGCGCCAAGCTGAGCACAAGGAGGTAGTGGGCGTAAGCGGTGCCGAAGTCCTGGGTGCGCATGCAGTGCTCGGCGCTCTGCAAGGACCGCGACACCAGCTCGTCCCGCCCGGCTGCCCGGGCGCCACTCCCGGCGCCGCGGCGGGGCCTGGGCCGCGAGTTCGACATGACAGAGTCACCTCCCTAAGCCAGAGCTGGTGTAACCAAAGGGAAGATGCTTTGGTAAACGGGACGGAACTGCCTCGATGGCTACGCGTGCATGTGCCTAACGAGAGCGAGCACCTAGAAAAGAGTTAGCTTCTGCAGCGGGTGAGCGCGCACAGCCCCGCCAGGCGGAAGCCCCGCCCCCCTGTCTGAAGGGCTCCGTAGAGCTTGACGCACAGCCAACCAACTACGGACGCTGGTGGGCAGCGCACGCTACGCGAACGTCAGCGCGCCTGACGTATGCACGTCGCGGTCCGCCCCTTCCCGTAGGCGGGGGGGGGAGGTGCGGGGCGCCCACTGCGCGTGCGCGTGGGACATTGCCTGTAATGGTCTCTTCTTGGCTTGCTCCCTTTTTTTTTTTGTTTTTTGTCCCCCCTGCCTGAAACCAGAGCTTTCCGTCCCCCTTCCCTGGCCTTCAGGACTGGTGACTTCAGCTGCAAGACCTCACTCTACAGAAGCTGCACCCACCCGTGAGGGATGTGGATGAATGTGGGGAAAGACCGTCTGACTTTCGTGGTGATGCCTTAGGCCTTTGGATTATGAGGCACCAAATCTCAAAATGGCAAGACTGGAAAGAACCCCGGAAATAACAAAAGCACCTTAGGTGTGGTAGAGGAAATGCTTTCACTGGCATTAAGTCACCCTCACAAAGCCCTGTGAGGTGGGCCTTTTGGGTCATATTTACCTTAAAGACAGAATGGGAGGCAGCCTGAGAAGTGATTGCCCAAGATCACGGACAGTTAGTGGCATTGGTTGGCTTGGCTCAAACCCCGAGTGCCCTGATGGCCTGTTCAGTTGTGTTAAAACGAGCTTAGGGTTTATTTCACTGTTCAGTGTGTCACCGCTGTATGGTGGTTATATTTTTAAAAAAACGTGTTTATTGGCTTTTTTACAGGGAGGAAGGGGGAGGGATAGGGAGTTAGAAGCATCCATGAGAAAGATCCATCAGCTGCCTCCTGCACGCCCCCTACTGGGGATGTGCCCGCAACCAAGGTGCATGCCCTTGACCAGAATCGAACCTGGGACCCTTCAGTCCGCAGGCCAACGCTCTATCCACTGAGCCAAACTGGTTCAGCTATATTACTTTTTATTAGAAAAAGTTTTTCTACCTTATAGTGTGGCCCCTAAGCGATAGATTCTAAACTTTAAAAGGGGGCAGGCATAGGAATAACAGCTAAAAAAAAAAAAAAAGGTCAATTTAGTTCCCGGTTTCAAACACATTAATGGTGAATATTTTACCTAACAAGAAACAAACAAAAAGAACGTTTTGTATATCAAACTAAAACTTTGGCGGCTCCTTTAATGCTCAAAAGACCATCATTTGCCTGCCTTTTTGCCTCCTCTTTTGATTTTATTTTCTGAATCACCCTTCCTCTGAATTCCTACCCTTGTAAATCCTAATCAGTGCTTCAGAGGCCAGATCACTAGATTTGTGACCTGTTGCCTAGCCAGAAGGCCCCTCAAAGACAGGATCTAGTCTTAAACATTTTGTAACTTTGCACCTAGCAGAGTCTGGATCAAAGTAGGGAGTCAGGTGTCTTTTTAATTTTAATAGAAAGTACACCCCTCACTCCCAGGTTTTACATGAAAACTTACCCAACTATTTAACATCTTTATTTCTCTCCCATCCTCAACTGCTACTTTCTGTACTAAACAATTGAAGATTTAACTGTAGTATATCCCAAACACAACTGAAAAATTAAAACCTCTCTAGTACCACTAGGATATGTAGTAGAACATGAAAAGGCCACTGGACTAAAAAAAAACAAACAAAAAACAAGTGTGTTCTGTTCCATGTTTGGTCCTTTTTGGCCCACTCAATAACCTTTCCGAAAGAGTCATTTGTAGCCAAACCGGTTTGGCTCAGTGGATAGAGTGTTGGTCTGCAGACTGAATGGTCCCAGGTTCAATTCCGGTCAAGGGCATGTACCTTGGTTGCAGGTACATCCCCAGTAGGATGTGTGCAGGAGGCAGCTGGTCAATGTTTCTCTCTCGTTGATGTTTCTAACTCTCTATCCCTCTCCCTTCCTCTCTGTAAAAAATCAATAAAATATATATTTTTTTAAAAAGAGTCATTTGTAAAAAAAGGCCTAACAAAGTTACCTTTCCTACTTTGGACACAAGATTGCTATAACTACTAAATGAGATAATATGTGCAAAAGTATTTTATATGTAATATATATTTAATGCTACGCATTGTTACTATTATCTAAAGTCATTTAAAACCTATTTGGATTATTAAAATAAAAATTAGGCCACTAATACCTTTAAGCATTTGATCAAAAGCATTTAGACTTCATCGTTCTAGTTATTTCTGTGAGTGCCTGCATCAGCTGAGTTACTTGACTTCACAGATTACCTTATATTTCAGGGCATAGTTTATATTTATTTTATACTTTCCCATTCGATGAGGGCAAGGTTTCTTTTTTCAATTTTCATTTGTTTGGTTTGTTGAGATAGCCCAAATATCTAAAACAACTAGACTGCATGCAACTTAAAGTATAAACATTATTATCAAGTCTATGTATGCGAAGATGGAGGCAGGAGTTGGCAGGAAGTGGAGAGAGGGCAGAGAAGTAATGAACAAAGACAACTTCAGTTCCATCATCACCTACAGTATCAACCTTCGGGCAGTGCCTACTGATAAAAAAGAGCAAGGGATGCTGCCTGCCCCTTGTGAAATACTTCAGATAACTTTGCGAGCTACTAGTTCTCACTAGTTAAAATGGGATTAATCCAGATAGAGAAATCACAGCTGTTTTGCATTTCTTTGTAGTTTTTCTATAGCTTAGAATATCAGGGGTCCTCAAACTACCGCCCGCGGGCCACATGTGGCCCGCCGAAAACATTTATCTGGCCCGCGGGGTGTTTTTGCCGCCACTGCCTGTCCTGCTTAGCAGCTGACTCGTCCCGGGCCCGCAGTGCACATGTGTGGAATGTCTGAGGGACAGTGAACTGGCCCCCTGTTTAAAAAGTTTGAGGACCTCTGGCTTAGATACTCTTTGAACTCACACAAATAATATGGAATACCTGGTCACCTTAAGAAACTGAAATAGAAAGTATATTTTAAGTACTATTTTCCTTTATTACTTCATTCCTAATTAAGACTTTGAATTACTCAAGATTATATTTACTAAAGGTTAACTATTTATTGTATTACCTTTTCTTTTGAAAGCCCTATAGTCTATTGTTGATGATGCTTCCTTTGTGAAAACTAACAAGAACAACACAACTGTAGCTATGAAGTTTCTTTACTTTAGCTCCAAGCCATCCATATGGTAATGGTCTGCCCAGTTGGCTGTAGGAGTTCCAGCATTGCCCATATCTGGCCCCAGAGTGTGGGTATGAGAGCTTCCCCCTCTCCCCCTCCCCTGCTGATAGCCAATGTTCTGAACCATGCCGAAGGTAGGCGTGTTCCCTTGTTTTCAGCTGTTTTGAATCACTGTGTTTCAGGAATACCTCCTGTCACAGCACTGAGTTGAGTTTTACTTTGTGATCTAACCTGAAAACCTTTTTCTGTACTAGATGAATTACACCTAATTATATTAAATGATATAATGGCTGTGTTTGTTTTCCGACCTGTCATATTAGCTTTTTACTTTTTGTCTCTATGAGTTTGACTACTCTAAGTACCCCATATAAGTGGGATCATACAGTTTTTGTCTTGTTGTGAATGGTTCATTTCACTTACTGTTCTCAGAGCTCATCCCTGTTGCAGCCTGGGTCAGATTTTTCTTCCTCTTTAAGGCTGACTAATATTCCATTTATGTCTGTCACGTGCTCTTTGTCCATCCATCAGCTAACATTTGGGCTGCTTCACCTCTGACTATTGAGAACAACGTTGCTAGGAACACAGCAAACTGTGCATGTACTGCTGCTCCTTTGCCCAGTCCTCTATCGTCGATGATTCTTCCTCTGTGAACACGAACAATAACCACTGTGGCTACAGTTTCTTTACAAATATCTCTTTGTGATCCTGCTTTCAATTCTTTTGGGGATATCCTCAGAAGAGAAATTGTTGGATCATATGTACAGTTATTTTAATTTTTTGAGGACCCTTGATACTATTTTCCAAAGTGGCCAGGCCATTTTACATTCCCGTCAATAGTACAGGTTTCCAATTTCTCTACATTCTCAGCAACACTAATTTTATTTATTTACTTTTTGATAATATCTATTTTAATGGGTGTCAGGTGTTATCTCACTGTGATTTTTGACTTACATTTCCTAATGATTAATGATGTTGAACATCTTTTCATGTGCTTATTGGCCATTTGTATATTTTTTTTGAAGAAGTGTCTCTTCAAGTCCTTTGCCTACTTATAAAATAGGGTGTTTTTTGTTGTTGTTGTTGTTGTTGAGTTGTAGAAGTTCTTAAAGTACTGGGTATTAATCCCTTGTCAGATATGATTTGCAAAATATTTCCTCCCATTCCATAGGTTGCCTTTTCATTCTGTTGATTGAACAGTTTTACATTTTAAGGACGTCCAATTTATCTATGTTTTTTTTTTTTTTTGCTTGTACTTTTGGAGTCATATCTGAGAAATCCAATGTCTTGAAGCTTCCCCCCGATGTTCTCTTTTATAGTTTTAGGTTCTATGTTTAGGCATTGGATCTGTTTTGAGTTAATTCTTGTGTATGGTGTATCCACTATCATTTTTGCTAGGAGTTCCTAACACATCATGGAAGTAACACAAAACAGTTTAAGAAAGAGATTTCTACGTTTCCACAGTTGGCTTTTAGTACCAAATATGTCTTTCTTCTCCTTCCCCAACAAACACTTGTCCCTACCCATAAAAAAGACATAAACATGTAAGAAAACATGCAAAAATTTATATTTTATTTGAATTCAAAAAATTTAAAATTGCTTTCAAATTCAGGAAAGTACCATAATCCAGGACCCCAGGGGGAAGCCTCATATACAGAGACAGATAAATTAAATGTATATACTGCAGACAAGCCAAGGTGTGTAGATTACATATTTACAGCACTTGATGTTTTCTGAAAACCATATTTATACATTTTATTACATTTACAAAAAAGGCTTCCACTACCGTTTACCTACAATAATGAAAAAAAATTTACACCTTTCTTTCTTTCTTTTTTGGTACTGTACAAACTTTGTATAATAAA